CTGAATTTCCAGAGTGTAATGGCTCTTCTGTCTTCATGATATCTTCAACCTGAGTGTAAACTGAAGCAAAGTACCTCTGCAGGAGGTGGGATACTGTAGGGCAGAGGGAACTTTGGTTTCACCGGTGGCATCTGAGTAATGTGGGAAGGTGTCTGGGAAAATTTGATTTCTGCAGTGCCGCTCATTCTGGATGGGGTTGATGGTACTCATGAGCAAGGGCACTAGAGTTGCAGGTGCACTGTACGGTATAAAATTCAGAAACCAAAGCTGATAGGGTCCTAAGTAACATATGAACCATGAAATGTTGCACTAATAGGACAGGGGAAATGTTTCCCTCATAATTCTTTCTCTGGACTTAAATCTGTATCATAGTTTCAAGTCCTGATTGGTACTTAAAATGAGTTAATTTTTTTTCTATGATAAATGTTGGTACTCCCTTCCCTGCCAGCTACTGCATAGATGTGACAGGGATGTACATAAAAAGACATTATGCCAACCATGTTCTTGCCAAACAAACTGTTTTCAGTACTAAAAGCCTTACCCTGTTGTCCTCTGCAGAGAACAGTTTGCCTGAGTGAAAGTAAGGGGTTTGCTTGCAGCTCCTTTGAGATCAAACATCTGTGAAAATAAAGATTTCATAGGATGGGACAAAAAAAATATGCTGTCTTTTCAGCCATGGGATCAGTTAATGACCTTGACAGCTCAAAAGCCTGAGTAATGGCCAACTTATTCAAAACATTCAACTTGTGTCCTTTAAAGTAACAGAAAGCAACCGCTCAGTTGCAGCTGCCCAAGGTTCATTGCGGTCAGAAGTGGAGGTTGTCTTAATCATCTGAGCTCTGGAGAGTCCCAAAGTGCCACCAGACCATGAGCCTGCTCTAAAAAAGCCCAATGATTTTCTCAAAGCAATACACATCTTTGCCTCTCAGGAGCGAATGACCTGAGTCATCAGCTCCACACCTTTCAAGCAGCATCTCCTGCTTGAAAACAAAGTAAACCCTCAGGAACTCAGCAGGCCTGTTGCAACTACTTTTCTTTGACAACGTGCTGGGCAGCAGCCTAGCGCGTTTGCCTAGTGAGGGAGGCGTGCACTAGTCGCACATGGCAGTGGGCTTCGTAGGTGTCTATGGGGAAGGTAACCACCCCATAAGCAATTATCTCCAAGCAGGTGCTTCAGGCCTTGATGTGAGATCTGGGGGAGGGAAAAGGGCACAAGCCAGGCCAGGCTTCATCTGTGAGCTGTGACTACAGGACCTGCTGCTGTCTGCAAAACCGAGCTGTGTGTGCTCGGGGGAATGGGGTTCCTTTGTACTGCAGCGCAGCTCTTGAGGCAAATAGCTGTTGAACTTGAAGCACGCAGGCAAGATGTTAGACACCTGAGAATTTCTGGATCTCTTCCCCTGATTTCTGTGGGAAGATGACTTTGGTCAGATACAAATCAATTCCAAATAGGCTACAAACCTAATGGTGATTTTGCACAAGCCTCTGTGAAAACACGGCTGAGCCAATGGATGTGAAAGAGACGGGGAGGATGCAGACGCTGCTGAGTGCAGACAGTCTGCGTGGTTTGCCGTGAGGGGATGTGTCGAGTTAACTTCTGCTTCGGTTTGGAACAGTTGCATCCTGTGGACCCTGCAACTGCCCTGTGATTTAAGCTGTTGCGGTCCCACAGATCCATGTCTAAGTTGCCTTGTTTCTCATGTATTTGCCTCTCTAAGCTATAAAAAAAAAAAAATCCCCAGGCTCCTCTGTCCTCCTTCAGCTTCTGCATATATTTGTTTCTGAGGTGGTAACATTTTTAGGTGCTTGTTTGATTGGCAGACGTTCAGCGGCTGGAATGAAAACTCAACTGGACATAAGAAATTCCTATCTTGGAAAGTCCTTGCCATGCTACAAGTGGTCACCAGACTAATGGCATCTGAGGGCAGCTCTGCTTGACTGGTGAGGCCAGAAGGAAGAAGTGCAGTAAGACCACTGCAGGAATTTGACCTAGGGGGAAAAAAAAATTCTTATTTTGGAAAGCTTTGGGACTGCTTATGTTAAGCAGGCCTGCTGTTGAAGCTTCTCTGCTATCTTCACACAGTTTTATTTACAGCTTAAAATAAAGAAAGCAGTAGTTCTTGACTGGTACTGTTAACATATACACTGTGTATCGAGTTTATTGCAAAGTGTGTTAGCAAGCTACCAGCCTACTTTTTAATCTGCAGATAATCTTACTCTCATTTATATGTTTGGGCTATATTACTTTGCCCAGCATAGGCGCAGCCGTTGGAATCCATCCAGTCCACCTAACAACTTTCATTAAAGAAAATTGCCCTTGTGATAAAAATTACTCAGTGTGACAAGATTCCATAATATATTTTTTTAAAGACGCATAAAATTTTGTAGCAGTGAATGCCACATGTTTGGTTTTTTTGAGATTTTCTTTTAAAAGCAAAAATTGACTTAATTGTGACAATATTTGTAATAGAATGAAATAACTATTTTCTGGCTGGGCGGCTGGGTGCCAGGCTGGGCAGCAGGGATAAGCAAATAAGAAAACCTTGACTCTGAAAAGTGCATTTTTTTGTGTTTTGTACATTGTGTGGTTGCTTGAAAGTCTGTGACCCTTTAGTGAGGGAAAGTAACTACAATAAAGTCTGCTCACTTGCAGTTCGTGGTACCTAAGTCTTAACCTTATAAAATGCAGTGATCAAGCATGGATTTTTCTGCAGCAATTGGGAGCAGCTTATCTGAGCATCATCCCTCCTGGCTACAAAGGACAGCACTTGGTACGTGTGTCCCCTGCATCAGTGAGAATACATGGGTGCTGATGGAGTACCTATAGTTTTTCCTTGCTTCTTCCAGCCGCTGGAGACATAAGATTCCTAATGTGTGAGCCAGTGCAGCAGGCTGCTTGCTGCAATTGTGAGATGCTTTGGTATTTTTTTGCTTTGTTTTCTTTTTTACAATGGAAACATAGTAAAGAAGTGCTAAAGAACCAAACCCAGCATTTGGGAATGGAACGGGAGGTCAGTGGATTAGACTTCCTGCTGTCGCTTTGCAGAGTACTTGCCTCAGAAAACTCTGTGGCTCCTATGCCTTTTCTCCTGTTACACTATAAAAATGGGGAAATCTCTCCGTTCTTAACTGCTTGTTCATTAATAGATATAAATGAACCTGACTTCAGGAAGTCTGTAGCAGAGCAGTCATCATCATCACTACAAATATGGCCAAATCCAGTGAGTTTTTGTTCACTTGCTGGTGAACTCACACTCTTCCTGCATGAGACCAGATCCAAAAACATGCTGGTGTTTCTTGGTAGCAGCTCAGCTGTGCTGTGCTCATACCCCTGGAGGAATCCATTAGGCTGCCTTCAGGTGTCACCACAGATGAAATTGCACAGCAAACCATGACAGTTCAGAAAGGTATATGATGCCAAAACGTAAAATGACCAGCACACAAGTGGAAGACAAACCTCTGGGATACTTCACAGTCTCACTTTCTCATTTCTATCAAAATAAAAAGTTGCATAAAGTCTATATGTGTTTTCCATTGTTTTGGAGATTTGGATTTTTTAAAGACTTCCCAGTTCGTTGCAGGTCTGGTTTAGGTAACGTAAATATCGTGAGGTCTGGTCTTGCAAGTGCTACAATGTCTGTGGCTACTGTTAAGGAAATCAGATCCAGAGCTTCTGTGTGACGGTTACCTCCTTTATTATGAGCACCAGTAGCCACGCTCATTTTATCTTGTCTTGGATAGATTGACTAAACTGTACGTCCTGGCTTGGGCTTAGCTGATTTATGCTTGAAGCAAGGACTGTTTGTTCTCTTTTCTGATGAACTAATCTTTTGTGATAAACTAACAATGGCAAGGGATGAGCTGTGATGTTAAACAGTGGTGGTGGCTTTTTTTTCCTTTGTAAGACTACCCACTGCCTCAGGAGGAAGGCAGCTGCACTAATAATATATCTAATCTCTGTGGAAGGCCCTTATTTGAAAAATCTGTAATTGAGTGGACAAAATTTCTGGTTGCTTGAGAGGATCTATTCAGAAGAGGCTTGAAAAGGATGAGGGGAAAAAGCGTGCTAGACAGCAAGAAGTATGAAGGGCTCTATTGAGCAGGAAAACCTATGTAGATATTGTAGGACAATTAGGCTTGTCAGGAAAAACACTAAAATGCATTTGTGAGCAAAAAATCCTGGGGAACATTAAACAAAGCTTTGAAAAGGGCAAAGAGTTTGCTAGGAATACCTCAAAAGCAAAGAAGTTGATTTGGGTGATCTTTGAAGGAAGGCAGGTGATGGCTGCTTCAAAGAGAAGGTGCAGAACATGTGTTAGCCATAGGGATTTTGCCCATTTTTTTCCTCCAGTAGCTAAAACCCTGAAGCACAGTTGCTGGGTCAGCACCGTGGGGGAGAGCTCATAACTTAGTTAAGTTTATTTGTCCCTTTGCTCTTTTTAGACAGCTATTCCAATACCTGGCTTCGCTGGTGCCCTGTTCAAGGGTGCTTTCACACTGTCTGCCTTTTCAGCCCCTGCCTGTCATGTCTGCTTTGGAAGCCAAGGAAGGCTCTGCTATACAGAATGGAGTAGATTTGTTCCCTATAGTCGAGGCAAATAAATGTGTGAGTTTATTTGTATTTGAATGATTGCATCTATTCGAGTTCTGTGTGAGATTTTAAGATTAATTAATTGCTTAGATTTGACAAACTAGCTTTTGCCTAGCAAGGCTTGTTTCCTTGATCGGTTGCTGATGGCAGTGGATAGTATGGCGCATTAACGAACAGTCCCTGGCACGCTGCGAATGGGGTTTGCTGTCAATAAGTCAAAATTTCAGATCCCTAAAGATCAACCCGTTAGTGATTAGGCTGGCGTCAGCTCTTAGCCTATTTTCAGGTTTTTCTTTGGTGCTTCGCTCTTTGATGTAGAGACAGCTGTGTGCCCCTTACCCTTTATGTAGGCTGAGCTCTTTATTTCCACATCTAAACAAGCTGCCCATTGTTTTGATCACTCAGTCATCTTTTTCTGCAGCTCTCCTGTTTGATTTTTTGTTAATCGTGGTGACCACAAGTGCCAGTGCTAATTCAGATGTGGCTCCAGTCTGCATTCAGTAGTGTAAATATTTCCATATTTAAATGCAAGTATCTCCTCTGATAAGCTTTTAACGTAGTCATCCAAATATATACATCGGCTATGCCTGCCTTGCCAGCTTGGAGGGATGTCTGACTAAGCTTTTCGCTGTTTTTTATTTATGCCTGAGTGCATGGTTATGCTGTATGTTTTGAAGAAACGAAACACAACTTAAATGCGCTGAGTGCAGTTTAATTCTGAAAGTAAATTGTCCTGTGTCTCTTCTAAGCTACGTTGGTTTTCCACAAAAGTGTCCGAGAATCCCTGCTCTGATAAAGTTCTCCCAGAGGTCTGCCAGCTGGCTTTTTATTCCTTTTCCTCTTCCTCTGCAGTTTTATTTCTCATCTTGCACTCCTCCATCTCTCCTAGTGCCTCTTTTTTTTTTTTAATTGCTTCTAAGCTTTTGGAACATCTTCAGAAGTCTTGGTTAAGTAGTTACGGTTAAACCCTGGATATAAGAGAAATTATTCTTACTTCCATTTTCCTGTTAATTATATTTAACTGTTCAGGACATGCTTCCAAAGACATCTCCTTCTGGTAAAGAGGGAACTACATATTTAAGAAATCAGTCATTACAACATTTAAATTTCTTATTTTCATACAGAACACCTGAAGAAACGCCTGGAAGATTATATGGCCCAGTTCCCAAGTGTACGAATCCTCCGAACCAAAAAGAGAGAAGGGCTGATAAGAACTCGAATGCTGGGGGCCTCTGTGGCCATAGGGGACGTCATCACCTTCTTGGATTCCCATTGTGAGGCCAACGTGAACTGGCTGCCACCTCTGTTAGGTGAGTGTGCGGTGCTGTGCATGGCAGAAAACAGAACTGCTAAAGAGCTGGTAACAGTTGTTGGTGTTGAATTTGTTTTATTTCCGCCTGCTGCTTTCCCCTCATGCTGTAAGTGGACAAAAGGAAGATGAAATGTCTTAAAAGGGAAAACAAGCATGCAAGAATCTTTTTCTTTTCTGGGGTCCTGTGCTGTACCATAACAGTATCATATGTTTTGCTTAATTAAAAAGCAGAGATCATATTCTTCCGTTTCCTCATTAAATGAAATCTTAAATAATTTACAGCTTGCTAGAAGAGTAAACTACCACATGGTCATTCAGCAGCTTGCCGAGAGGAACGGCTTTATGATACAGAAAACGTCTTTACATGCGGTTTTTAAGTAGCTTTTAGTTTTGGGTTTTTTCTCCTATATAACTATATTTAACTTCATAGTCTGCAAGCCTGTGGAAGATACTACTTGTGAATAACAGCTGCTGCTATGTATTTGTAGAACACGTCCTTTCCAAGGCAGCGCTTCATCTTTAAGGAGGCATCAGTTTTGCAATGTCAGTTCTTTTCAAGGATAACTAACTGAAAGGACAGTGCCTTCTGCTTCTGGTACCTGCATACCTCTGGCCAGTACCAAACTCCTTTGCAACCCTATTGCAAGTGACCTGTTAAAGCTCTCTCTCAGGTGTGGCATTGTCGAACAGACTGTGGCAACAATAGTCAAGTGGAGATTTGAGAAAAACTAGTCAGATTTGTCAGCAGGATTGTCGGATGGTAATACTGTTGCTTCCTCTATGGTTTGTATCTGGTAATAATGTAAAACATTTGCAGTTTCATGAGCCCCGGGGAGGGAGGACAGAATTATCTCAAATGCCATTTACATGAGAGCACATAGAGTATGCTTTAATTTTAAATCATAGAAAGGATTTCTCTTAGACGTGCATTGGACGCGGAAACGTCGTTTGTCGCCTCTGCTCTGTAAGTTAACTTCCAGCAAGAGACCGTCTCAGTAATAAAGTATTTAAGAAGTTCCAGATGCTTATGCAGGAATTAATCCTGTCTTGTATTATTTGGTTGGAAGAAAAAGTTGAGGGGAGGAGGTACACTTGCATTTCTTGAGCCTGCTGAGAGTAGTTATGCCATTAGTCTGAATTGCTTTCTGCCAGATTCTGGCATAGCAATTAAAGCTAGGTGGTACGATGGGTTACAGCCCTGGCTTTGAATCAGTGCGGAAGGGGTTCACATCCCGGTCACTCGTTAAAATGAGGACTGTTCGCTAAATACAAGACTGTCTGCTTTTAGCCTGGTGGTTTAGGTATCTGTGGTAGTGTGGCTTTGTCTTCCTATTCTGCTTCTGGGTGATGGTCACTGTAGCGTGTCTGGTGGGTTTTATCTCAATAGTTCTAGCTTGAATATCAAAATCAATTTCAATGCAGAAATATGAGCTAAACTGATACGATTTGGAGCGTCTGCCCAAAAGAGCACTAACAGGAAGAAAGCTGTGTCGCTCTTGGACAACTTCGTATTTTGATTCTCTTTTCTGTAATTTCATGGTCAACGGAACCAACTGGTGCGGGCTTTCTAACACGTTTCTCCAATCTTCAGATCGCATTGCCCGAAACCGCAAGACTATCGTTTGCCCTATGATTGATGTTATTGATCATGACCACTTTGGATATGAGACTCAGGCTGGAGACGCAATGCGAGGTGCATTTGACTGGGAGATGTATTACAAGAGGATCCCTATTCCCCCTGAGTTACAGAAACTTGATCCCAGTGATCCGTTTGAGTAAGTTACTGAAATGCAGCGTGCTAAGCCCTGGCTAAGAAAATAACACCCTGTTACAGGTTTGGTTTACACCTCAGTGTAGTAGAAGTCAGAAGCTGGTGTTAAGCTACTTGCTTTTTGGCAGCTGTTTGCTTTGTTGATTTAAAAGAAATGCATTGTGTAGTAGCTGTGAACACTCTCCTTTTCATTGCTGTTTTTTGCCACCTTAATTCCTGCAGAATTTAACATTTCATTTAAAACTGTAATGTCTAACATTTAATGTGGTCATTTATTACTGAGATCTTTCAAATGTAACTTAGTATCCCTAATGCTCTGCCAAAAACAACAAACCAATGTCAGTTTATATGTCATTCCCAGGTGGGAGGGAAGAAAACCTAGCAGAATAATTACAGCAATTTTGATGATTGCAGTGCATTGCAGAAGTAAATCTGTGATCAAGTTATGTTCTGCTGTTGCTGTGCCTGCCAACATTGAGACAGTTCTGCTGTCCTTTATACTTCTGCAGTGTTCCACAAAAACCCAACAAAACACCTTTTGAGGTCAAGCTTAATGACTTGATTGTACTACTGAGACAAAGAGCACCACATGTGCAGCATATGGGTCCTGGGAGAGGTTATGTCCTGTCACTTAATGTGAACTCTTTTGCCTGTTTGGAGGAGGGGCATTGACTGGTTCTGAAGGGAGCCTAGTCTGGTCCTCCTCATCTGCAAGTGGGAAATTAGTAGATAATACAAAACCAACTGTTTGATGCTCCATCACGGCTGCAAAGGCACCAGGAACGCTGGGTGGTGAAAACAATTTTTGTCAACTCTTGCTTTGTTTTTTAAATGTTTAGCTAGATATCTGTATCCTTGAATGTGTTTGTAATATGGAGTCTGGTTTTTCCTTAAGGTCTCCTGTAATGGCTGGAGGACTGTTTGCAGTCGATAGAAAGTGGTTCTGGGAGCTGGGAGGGTATGATGCAGGTCTGGAGATATGGGGAGGAGAGCAGTATGAAATATCCTTTAAGGTGAGCTATGTTCTCTGGAAATTACTTTTGTTTTGAAAAGAAAGAACTGTTCTGAGGTGCAGAATGTGAATGATCTATCTTGTCCTTTGCTTTCGCCTGTGACTAAAGGTGAACAAGCTGGGAGTAGTAAGATAGCACACAGAAGAAACAGTGATGATGTGACCAGTCATTTGTGAGGGTCAGTTTTGGAGCATGATTAACTAGGGTGGTCCCCTGTCCTGTGGTCACAGCTTCAGATGCATTTGCTCTTCCCAGCAAGGGTAAGTCAGCTTGCGTGGAGCTCTGGCTGTTACACTTCTTAGTATTCACCCTGGCAAGAATTTGAAATGCTCTCCTTGAGGGAAGGAGGATTCAGGCAGCTCAGTGTTTGCCCAGTTGAGTATGCCAGTCCTGAGCTTGAGTTCCCAGACATGAGAGTAACTTACTGTCTATAGTAAATCCATCTGATTCTTGGCTGCAAGGTAATTACCCTGTAAGAAATCTTCAACAATTGGAATAACAATACTGTTGCTGGCAATGACTTCAGATCATTATCTGCCTGGCTTGGGGACAGTTCTGTTACTTACTGATTGTCTAAGCTGTTCAGCTGAGGACTTTAACATACGAGTTAGCCAGCTGACCAAAAATGCATACTAATAGTAACAAGTTACTGTGACCTGTGAAGACCGCTGGTACCTGTGTTATCTTGGAATATGGCACTCTGAAATCCATTCTAGGAAACCAACTGGAATGTCCCAGAGCACCGAAGTCTAGGTGGCTAGTCTTCTCTTCAGTGGTGGGGATCCTTTCCATAGCCTGGAGTGAATAGAGTGAAGATTTCTGTATTAAACTCTGTTTGGGCCACCGCGTGGTTTCTCTTTCAGAGGTTGAATATGTAACCTTATAGGTGCCTGGACACCACTGAACAAAGCTAGTTGGCCTCAGCATGAGGCTAGAAGATGGTAGCGATGCTAACATAGTGCACAGTTTAGCTTTGGTGGCTAAAATTCCTCATCTGTCTCCCCAAGAAACAAGACATGGCTGATCTCTCACAAAACTGATTCCTAATTCTTGATGCCGCTATGCAATTCAAAGGCGTATCAAACTATATTCAGCAAGCCTTATTAGCATACATACATACCATGTACTACTGTACAGCAAACAGTGCAATAAAAGACATTGTTTAGACATAAAAGATATCTTCCCATTTTTTTGTACAAAAAACCCTAAGTCATAAAGTCACATTGAAGGTTCCTTGTCTTCCATAACGGTGGCAGGAAGGACAGGGGCGAGGGGCACCCTCTTTGGAGATGTCGTTATGGTTAGAGCCATTTATTCTTTGTGTTGCATGTAATGAAATTGTGTAACGATGTCATTCTCTGCAGGAGGGGCAGTGGCAGTATTCAGCCTCTTTTCCTTGGCCCTTTTTGAAAATGCTGGTTTCCAAGAGTGATGACAGTAGCTGGGCAAGCCCTTTGTCTCCCGTGCCACAGCAGACAGTCACATTGCTTGATCTGCAGGAAATAAGACTACTTCATTCATCTGTTTGCTTATCCTCTCTGAAACACACTGTGTTTTATTTCAGTCCAGAGATGGTAATTTATGGAGGGATAAATTGCTTTAATTAATCTCTGCAAAGACCCCCTTTTTCTTTCATTGTGCAACAGAAAAATGAAGTTTTAACTGAAAGAGGCTCAGTGTATTTTCAGAAATTAAGATAAATTGATACATTCATCTATGGCTGATAGATTTAATAATTCTGCTGGAATTGCAAGAATAGAAGGTTTGTTCATAGAATTTATGAAGCTATGACATTTCCTGGCAAGCTTAGAGCTATGTTTTTACCTTTAGAAGCAGATTGAGATTTTGTAGTTAAAGGGACACTGTCAAATAATTTAAAGCTCTGGGTTTAGAAGTGGTGTACCTGCTTTGACATTATTATGTGAATTAATGGGAATTCAGATTCTAAGTGTGCCAAATTTACAGCCTGGCTTTACCAAAGAATCCATTCCTGTGCTTGGGACTTGGTCTTTGATCCATTGTATCATATCTGGCCTTCTTGAGCCTCACCACGAGTAGATTTCCCCCCCCCCCCAGCATATTTTTTTTGGCCATGTATGGACTGTGCTTTCCCGTTTTTTGCCTTTATTTTAAAATGCAGGGCTCTGTTGCTGAGAGACTGGAAATAAACAAGTTTATTTAGGAGCCTCCTGCCTTTCTATTTTGAGATCATATGTATTTCTGTCATCAGCTGGCTCTGCTTCTTTCTGAGAAGAAACTTCCAGGCTGAAGGCAAGCCAACAGAGAAACTATCAGTGTTTAGCACCTCAGAAAACATTTAGCTGGAGGATGGATCAAACTGTTAATAGAAGCCTTACTCCTTGGATGAAATGTGTATGCCAAGCATCACTAGAAAACATAGCATGCTGGGGAGACAAAATGATTTAGGCAAATTTTAAATTAGAAATAAACTTGCTAACCCTAACTGCTTGTTTGCCATTTTCTGGGTCTTCTCAACCCCTTAAAATAGAAATTTCCAGATTAGAAATGAGTCAATCTATCCATTCCATATTCAAGCAGAAAACACGCACTTCTTCCGTCTCTTGACCTGTGCATATCCAGAATAGCTCAGTGCCTATAAGCCAGTACTTGTGCAGGTCAAGGGTCTTGCTATTTCAGGTCATCATCAGATGCAACAGGAAGATTGCAGTCTTGAATTTTAGTTGCAGGCATTACACCTGGCTTTCAGAATCCTCCAGGCAAACTGCTCTGCGGATCTGCGTGGTGTAAGAACCATTCTCCTCCATCTCCGTGGATTACTAGATGCTGACCTTTGAGTACATTCTTATATTTTGGAGAAAGGGAAACAAGCATGCTCAGCTATTTCAGTGCAGCACCTTTCCTTTCTTCTTCCTCTAACTCTACAGCCCTAGTTTCTCTGTTCAGTGGACTTTCTTGAGGGCTTTTTTATGCTTTTTGGGAGTCACTTCCATACCTCTTTCCTTTGTAGTTTTTCCTAGTCTTTTGCATCTCTCTGCAATGCTTAGAAGTTCAATTCAAGTATTCAAAATTGAATACTTTACCCAAAGTGTCAATGTGTCTTTCCTTTTCTAAACACAACTTAATAGCCCTGACTTTCTGAATGCTCCATTCTCAACAAATACCTACATTCTGCTGCCTACATAACTACATCATTTTCTTTGAGATTAAAGTCTTTAATTTGGAGCATAGATATGAAGCATTTAAACTGTTCCTTTCTGCAAATGCTACTTTGTACAGCATTTATCTACATTCAGTTTTATCTGCGATTATGTTGCCTCTTTTCCAGTATTTTTGTGGCTTCTATTCTGTTTGGCTTACGTAATCCTCACTAAACTGCTTCATGCCTCTCTTCCATAAATACATAGTCTCTGATTTTTTGGGTATGGGGCAACAGAAGAGGAAAAAGTGATGTCTTTGACTTGTATAGGCATAAATATAGATGTATTTTGCACCTTGGATCTTGAGTGTTGTGGTTTGCAGTCCTTTAATTGTACATTGTACTTGAAGAGCAAAGCACGAGAATCTGGAATGTCCCTCACTAGGTGACACATCATGCCAGTTTTAGAAATATTTGTCTTGTAATTTATAGATTGTGAAGCCTTCGTAAAATTCAAAGGGCTTGGTGCAAACAAGCCGTATGGACAGTTGCCCTGAAAAGAACAATTAAGAGGAGATAAAAGAGAAGGGCAGTACTCATGGTCGCCTTTCCTTCCTTCAGCAATAGGAAACACCCACTGCACTTGTTCTAGTGATCACAGATCCTTTTCCCAAAGTGTCAACAGGGATTGCTTCTCCTGGTTTACATAGCATAAAACACATTGCGTGTTTTCCAACAAATCCAAGTGCTCCACAGCTTCTGTTCGCACATCTAGTGCATGCATCTCCTTTGCCCCATGTCAGCAGCACATTTCTGATTCCCATTTTGCCACTGGCCCCGTGGCAGGTGCATAGTTAGGGTGCAGCTGCCAAGGGATCACTTCTGACAGCATTTCTAGTTGTATCGCTGAAGTTAGTGCTGATTGTGAGCCTCCGCTGCTTATTCCAGGCACGTACTCACACCACTTTCCAGCAGCTCACGTTTGCCCACACTGAAACAAGCCGGGCATTCTGCTGCTTTTTTTTGTGGCATGTTTGTGGGTCTTTTTTTAAGCCAGCACATGCTGCTTAATTCTAAGGCGCTTAGCTGCAGTAGAGGGTGGCTTCTTTCTGGTGATGCAGAGATCAGTTTCAGACCATTGACTCGAATTTTTTGCCTCTGTTCACCCTATGTGCTTGGTTCGGTTCCAGAGTAGCCTCCCACCAAGCAGCAGCAGGAAAATGGACCCCCCGCCCCGACTCTGAAACATGATTATTGGAAAGTGCTATCATTACTCTAAAATGCTCCAGACGGTAAGGAGGGGCCATGCTGGTGTATGTGTGAGAAAAGGCGTTGTGCAAACACATGGATCCCAGCGCCTTTTGAGCTACCTTAATCTTTCGTAGAGCAGTAAGTCCCAGCTGCAACAGCAGCTGATGCTTACAATACAGAGGATTATGATTTTCCTGAATTACTGGTTGTCCTTGCTTTCATCCTCTCACCTACCTTGTTATGCAGAGATCCCCCTTGACTTATCCACTGTGTCCTTTCCTTCCCACTTTGCAGTGTGTGCTCAGACAACCAGCCAGCTTCTCTCCATCAGTCCATCCCATGGTCTTTATTTCTGTTGTGGCTTGCAGAAGCAGCTTTCTTTTCAAGGCTTGACTCTTTCCTTTGTGTTTATCTGCTCTCTTGGGAAGCATTGGCTCATCATGGTGCAGTCTTTGGAAACCATAAACCTTGTATACCCAGATAATTTGTATTCGCACACCAACTGCGGTATTGTGTTGTGTGTTTGAGAGGAGAGGTTCAGCTGTCTAATGTGACATTGTTTTCTGAAATGGCAGAAAGGGAATTGGATCAGCATAACATTCCCATGTAGAGAATAGGTGGCATATTACTTTGTGCTTTCATAGCACACTAGCTGAGTCAAAGGCTCTTGAGTCGCTTTATGAATATGGAGTTACAGCTGTCCAGACCACTGAGAAGATGGAAGTAATATCACCGGTGGTGTTACTTTACTTCTCTTGTATATGGTTTTATTATTAGGGTGAGATTGTGGCCTTAGAAAAATTTGTTGCAGTATGCCCATTGACCTCAGTGTAGCTGGGTTTTCTCTTAATTCCAGCAGATCTGTCAGCTGCTAGATTCTTAGCTCAAAATGTAGATTGCTAAATCCTGCCTGAGGAGGAAGAGAAATTTCCTGTTCTCTCCTACCGAGATCTGATTAAATCATTGTATAAAGCACTGCCTGCCTGACCAGCTTTAATTCTTGTTCTTACGGTCTTCTAGTAAATGGCTGACTGAAATTAAGTGCATCATGTTCAGGCTCTGACGTTTACTGTCGTGTCAGCCAGGGAGATGAGGCACCACCTCTCTTCTATAAAACAACAACAGCAAGAAGAAAACTGGCTCCCCTGGCCTAAGGAGAACACAGTAAGTGACAGGCAGTGTCACCGTGAAGGTGCGCAGTGCTGCCCCACAGAACAGCACTGTTTCAGCTGTTTGACAGCGCTAAATTTTTAGCAGTGTAAGTTCCGGTGTGTCATGCCTGTGAACTGTTCCCTTGTTTAAAAACAACCAGATACTGCTAACCGAGTGGAAGCGTTCTCTTGGCTAGCACGCAGCTATTCTGGGTTTGCTTCACTTGAAGTTATTCCTTGACAGACCCTTGGATGTGATTCCCCTGACCTTTAACTCTAACTTGCTAATGCTTTTGTTAGCTGTGTTTTACCAATGCATGTCACGCTCCTTCCCTCTCCACCTTCTTCCAGTTTTATAGATAAGGACTGGTAATTGTCTTTATGGAGGTTGTAATGAGTTCTGTCACCACACAAAGCAGCTCACTAATAAAATAAATCAAAGCAGCAATGAATGAATGGAAAGCATGCTTTTAAAATCAGATTTGTACTGCCAGTGCCACACTGTCACTTGCAGCATGAGACAATATTAAAAAGGCACTGAGTTGGCAAAGTACCTTGAAAGGGTCGCTGAGCTCTGCTAGCAGGAGTTAGGAAGCTTTCCATTGCCTCCACACAGCATGGTAATTGCCACATCGTTTGGGAGTAAATATTTTAAGGCACGATTAGGAAAAGAGCACGTAAAACTGATCTTAGATTTTACTCGTTCAGTAACTCAATTAAGTACCTTTTCTTATCATACCATCACACGTCTATGTCACGTCGTCTTCTGTGTCTGGAGTCTTGTTCCAGCTTGGAGCTCTTGGCCCAAGGTATCATCAGGTCTGTCTAGCTTCCCATAGCCCACCTCCCCAGCGTACCGCTCCGCAGAGAAGTGCTGGCTGAGTCACTGCTTCACAAGGTCTGCGGCGCAAGGCCAGCGCTCTCCTCTCTAGCTGCGCGTTGGCTGCAGCGGTCTGTTTCTCGCATAGGGAAGTCCTGTTTTCAGAGGAGACGTGTATTCACAGTAGCCTGACTGAAAGCCTTTCCTTAGAGGTCAAGGGCAGGTAAGGCGTCCTGTGGGCAGGCAGCAAGGATAACAAGCTGGTGTTTTCATTCAGGCTTGTGTCATGCTAAAATGTAGCTGCTTGTGAACCAAGAGGGCTTTCATGATGCAGGGCGCAGCGCACAGGGTAAAAATACGGGTTGTTGAGGAGTGTGTGTATCTGTGCAACTGAGCTTTAGGCTTCTTCAGCCGTTCCTGCAGTTTTTTTATAGTTCCCAGATCTGTTGCAGCTTTTACAGCCTTGCACAAACCATTTCTGTCATAGAAACACAAAACATCCCCAAATTCTTGTTTTCTCAGCCTACCTGTTAATTTCCTAGCAGAGAAATCACACTGTGGCCCTCTGCAGCAAAAAGCACAGCAGCTACAGAATAAGCAGCATTTCTAATTCCACTAGAAATGTCACAGAAGCTGAGTGCTAGTTTCTTTTTCCATTTTCATCTTTTCTGTACCAGCCTCTCAAGACATAACACGGACAAAAGGAATGAAATTCTGTAGAAGGAGTGTTTGTCAACTTTCTTCTTGTCTCTCTCACCATAACGACACGTAATTAAGTACCTTGAACTTCAGAAGTTGCCTGTGAAAAATACTCCTCTAACTGAGAGCAACCAACTTCCATTAATTTATACACAGTCAGCAAATGACTGTAATTATTAGGGCCAGTAGACAGAGCTGAAACTCCAAAGGACTTTCATGTCAGAGCTAATAATTATGCAGCAGCCTTGGCCAAATATTTCTCTTCCGAGCTAAGTATTTAATATTGTCACTGTAGAATATTAATGGAATTGCCTGCTATGTGTGAAGCTGTTGACTAAGCTCATTGTACAGTGAACTGCGGTGGCTCAAATTAGCCACAGTGAATGGAGCGATCAAGAACACTGCATCAGCCTGCAGCACCAGTGGACCTTCTTAAATATTTGCTGCTCTTGGGGCATTAACATAAGATCTGGGGACAAAATGAAGGGCAAGACAGAAAGAATTCAGAAATTCAAGAATTCTGAAAGTAATTTGTTTTGCATACTGACAGATACTACTTCTTTAAGTATTGATTAGATATCTCTGGGAAGCACATAGGAATATGTTTCTTAAATCTAATGAAGTAGATTGGCTGGTTCAGAAAACATTTCCTTTGATTTCACTTGGACAAAATGATTACATCCATGCTATAAATAAGAAATAAAGTTGTTAGAGAGTGTTGGCACAAAGTGGAATCTTCCCAGATGGGGAAAGAAACTTCTGGGCCTAATCTAGATGTTAATCAAGCATCAAGGTGGTCGTCTTCTACTAGCAGTGTGTTCCAGTGGGCTTTTTTAAAGGTAATTATGTTTTTCACTAGGCAGGGATTTCTGCCTAATTGTAAGGCTGCAAAAGCAATGAGTGCATGTCAGCAATGAAGCCATATGAAAGCAGTGATAACCACAGGAAAATGTAGCAGTTTCTTCAGTTTCTGGCACTTGAACAGGCTCGTGAATTCCCTGGAGTGTTTTGCATGACCTATACTGCAGAGATGGCCTCCCATTTACAGCAACATCACAGAACCTACACCCAGGTCTTATATGGCAGCCCAGTTTAACTATTGTGGTTACCATTGCTGTAATAACATATATCAATTTAAAGTGTGCTGTGTGCTGTTCTCTGGGTGCTTGGATTTTTTTTTTTCTTGTTCTTTTCTCTAAAGAATGAAAAATTGAACTGTTAAGCCATTGGGCTTGATAGCACTTGTGCTAAATCAAGGCTTGCTGCATGGCTCTAAGCAGGTAGTTATAGGATTTAAGACTAAGTCAAGGAGGGGAGGGTATTTGGGAGAGAGTATACTTTAAAGACCTGGGTTAAGCTTTTTCATGACTTGAAAGCATTTCTTCTTTTTTTTCTTTTTTTTTTTCCATATAACCAAGAGTGAATCTGCATATTTGCTGTTCCACAGGTATGGATGTGTGGGGGTCGCATGGAGGACATCCCTTGCTCTAGAGTTGGTCATATCTACAGAAAATACGTTCCATACAAGGTTCCAACAGGAGTCAGCCTGGCAAGAGTAAGTGGCAATGGCGTTCCGCACGACAGATGTCTGACTGCAACGTGACCATGCTGTTGTCTCCTCTCACCCCACCATGGGAGGCAAATGTAGGCTTTGTAGTCCATAAACTGTACTTGTACAGTGATCAAATTGAGCAGTTTTGCAGCAGTGGATGTATAGCACAAAGGGAAGAGAGCCTAGGGAGCTGCAGACTCATGGGCGGACAGCTGCCATGCTCCAGACATCAGCCATTTCTAGGTGTTGGGAAGGGACTTTGGGACCAGGAGCTGGCTATGGAATCACCAATAAAAACAAGATATGGCTTTATTTGTATAATACTTCAGTCATTTTATAGCTGTGCTCTCCGAGAGCAGCAGGCTTCAGCGTGGTGATTCTGTTTTGGTGATTGAAAGACCTCTCAACTTCAAGCATCACAGACCACTGAATGGGCAAGCTGTAATTTTCCACGATGGAACATTCTCTGCCATCCTATTTCTTAATCTAGTGTATCCCAAGGAAGAAAGAGCTTTTGCCTATCGTGCAACTCACTTTCTCCAGTTAATTTCCAAATTGAGAAGGGATTGCATTGCCCTCTGGTGGGAGAAAAAAAATTATAGGAGCAGGAAGGCTGCAAAACTAAAAAACACGAAAAGGTGCCCTACTGTTCTGCAGTCTTATGGCTTGCACAGTGTTAAAATGTTTCCCAGTTTAATAGGATTGCCCTAGTTATAGATTTGGATTTATTACTCCATCCAGCAATGACCTGTCAGAGCGATAGAGTGCTCTCCTGTCTGTGCCGTCTCTTCAGGAAGGAGCTATATTTCTTTTGGTTCAGTATTTGGCTCTTGCATACTCCCAGTGCTGGAGGGAGATGGCGGACTGGTGTAGGAAAGGCTGTTTATTGTCATCTAAGATCCTACAGTCACCTTGAGAAAAACACCTGCTCTTGTTGTGTATAGGTTGCATTTGGGGCCGGGGCAGCACTGCTCATTCTTAACATCCGTTCTTAATTCTTTTGGTAGTAAATGACCACTGCTGGACTGACCACCCTCCTGCAAGGTGGGCAGTGCTGCTGGGTCACTGAAGTCAGGACTGCACGTGGCACGTTACTGTGCGGCACCAAGAATGTACCTGATGTTGCCAGAGAACAGTCCAAGGTCCAACGGTCTCTTGAGTCTGTTGTGACAAGCAGTAGGGCGGGTGCCTCAGGAGGGTGGTGTTCACTGCTGTCTTGGAATTATACAGTGGATTAAGCTTTACAGCGCTATGTGAAATATACTGCTGCCAGCAAGTAAACCCTTTGCTTCTATTCTGAAGGGTCATCACCTGAAAGTTCCATATTCCTGTGGTATCTCAGAGTTCCTCTTAAACAGCTTTTTACCCAAGAAAATGGAAAAATAGTGGTAAGAAAGAATATTGTGAACTGAAGCTTTCCAGAAGGGAGTACTGCAAATCCCATTCCTAGAAGAATATAAAAGATGCAATAAGAAGGATTTAAGAAAGCAGCTGTTTGTCAGGGACCTTTGAATGTCCAGTGGTATTTACCAGCATCATTTTCTGACTAGCTTCTTTACAGAAAAAAAGAAAAAAAAAAAAACTTTTGATTAATGTTGTTTTTCTTAGCCACAAGGAACTAGATATAATGGCCAAGTGCCAGGATTCTGTTTTGACCTCCACAGAAAATATCTTTCTAAAAATCCCTTGGAACTAGAGAATAATAAAAATAATCTTCATCCCGAAGCTGGTGAGAAAGAGTGGATGTGAATGAAAATCCTTTCTGAGCGAAAACATGAGAGCTGTTCTGAATGCTAATGTCAGTGGTTTGTGCAGACTGTTCTCAGGTGGTTTTGCCTCTCATTTTCACATGTGGCTGTTACCCACACAGAACTTGAAGCGGGTGGCTGAGGTGTGGATGGACGAATATGCAGAGTACATATACCAGCGTAGACCAGAGTACCGGCATCTTTCTGCAGGGGACGTCGCAGCTCAGAAGGAACTTCGCAACAACCTCAACTGCAAAAGCTTCAAGTGGTTCATGAACGAGGTTGCATGGGACTTGCCAAAGTTTTACCCACCAGTGGAGCCTCCAGCAGCTGCTTGGGGAGAGGCAAGTTTGTGCTCTGAAATCTGCAGTGGGCGAACAGGCTGTGTTGTTTTTTTTTTTTTAAGTTGCCTTACCCATGTGCTCCAATACTGGTTTGCTGTGAGTAGGGTGGCAAGTGAGTGTTTAAAGATCCTGCTTGATACATTTCAAAGACCAGAACTTCTCTACCATTATATTGGCCTGATCAAAGGCGGCAGTTAGGCTGCCGTTTCTATTAGTGCACAACTACAAAGAGAAGAGAGACTTGGCTTGTGCTGCATGTTGTGTATTTAGTAGAAGGCAGAACATGCCAACAGGGAGGATTAGGGAGAGGTGGCAGCTGAGCAATAGTAGAAATCTTGTATTTCCAAAGGGCTACACAACTGTGCTGAGCTACTCTGCTCCTTAGCTTTCCCATCTGGAAGCCAGGAAAACCACCCGTTTTTGAAAGTCGACTGTGTTCTGGGAAAAGAATCACCCCAGGAGCGTAGTCGTGGGGATTGTCACACACAACAACACAGCGGCCTCTGCAGTCCTGTAGCTAATGGGTTTTGCTGTGTCCTGGAGGCTGTTGTACAGCTGGCGGTGGGTCCTGTTCTGAGTTCCGGTGCTTTCTTCTCGCCAGCTCAGATGCACAAAGTGAGGAACCTTAAAACTGTCTTCATACAAATGCTGCCACTATTTGAGACAATTTAAGCCTTCTTTCCTGTCACTTGGTAAGAGTAGGAGATTCAGTGACTAATTTACTATTTCAGATACGCAATGTAGGAACTGGGCTGTGTGTGGATACTAAGCATGGAGCCCTGGGATCCCCCCTGAGGCTGGAAAACTGTGTGAAGGACAGAGGAGAGGCAGCATGGAACAACGTGCAGGTAACAGTCCCTCTGATAAATCATTGGCCCCTAAATAAATTTGGGGAGGGCGAATTTATAAGAACAAATGTTTGAGAAGGAAGGCCATTGCAGAGCTCTCTGAGGTGAGCAGAGGGTGCTGTGCACTGTGCTAATTATACTCGATGGGTTTGTAGCAGGATGTGGCTTGTGCTTGTGGTAGGGTCTGGAGCCTGGCAGGCTTCATGCGCAGCTTTTACCTCTGCTTTGAAGTTCTCACAGTGAACAAAAGAAAGCGCAAGAAAACAATATGCCAAAATAATAAAAGAAACCAGTAACAAGGCCGTTGTAATATGTAACAAAGTGAATATTAACTTCAAAGGTTGTGCTGAAAGAAGTGATAGAGGAGCATCATGCATATTAATGAACCTGCAGGAGCATTCTATAACCGCTTACTATCATCCTTCTGACAGGAGGCAAATGCATTATAAACACCCGACCATTGCTGGAGAGAGATGAAACCAGCCAGGCTATAGATTCACCCTCTCAACATATAAGGTGCCAGAAATGACAGTTTTATTGTAACAGAAGGGAAGGAAATATTAGTTTGTCTAAACTGTAGCAGCTGAGCTGAGAAAAGATCAAGAAAACAATGCCTCTATTACAGAGCCATGCATAACTCTTCAGGGGAATGGCTTCAGTAGTAGGAGACAGAGGGTTGTTGCATATCAATTTTGATGCATGAAAACTAGAAACAAAACCAATTTACTCAGGCACAGTCCAAAACTAAGCTTCTCTTGTGGCAGGAGGATCTTGAACAATTAGTGTTGGCTTATGTTTAGGAGGAGAATGTGTTTTGAACTTCTGTGTAGCATTGAGCCTAAATGATTGTGGTAATTTCTCTCCCAAGAGAGGTTTAAAGGGAGATAAAGTAGCTTCTTTGTGCAAAAGTTTTTGGCCATGCTGCTTCAAGTAGTGGCACCCTGCTCTTTACTAGTCTTCTTTACTGCGCCATGAGATCTCTCTGAAGGGAGGACCATTCCTCCACCTGGCTCCAAAAGAAGACCCCAGAACAGCCCTTCCCCTCGGGGACTGAGGGAGGTTTGTGCTGGCTGGTAGCCCTGCAGAACCACGTTGGCTAGTGCTGGTCACAGAGGACACTTGCACCCTTGGCAGAGATGCTGTCCTTGTCAAAGCATAAAGCAAAAGCTTGACAGCAGAGCCTGCCTTGAAACAAGTTTATCTTTTGTGAGATTCAGTCCTACAATGCTTAAAACATTAGCTTGTCATAAGCCAAGCCATGATCATGAGACTGAAGATGCAGCTTGACCACACTACTGCCCCAAGCCGTGGCCAAAAAAAAAATGCCACAGGGGCAGTGCAAGGAACCGAGCGTGTGTGTGGTGGTACTTCCACCAACTGTTCTCCTATGGTCTGATCCCTGTGGCTCAGGCATCTCCAGGCCACATGTGCTGGCATCCAGCAACTTTCTCAAGGCCACAGCATTGCCAGGCATTGATAGGTTGTGCCTAGCTACTAGAGCTAAAACCCTTTCTCTTCTTTTCTGTATCCCTCCTCTCATTTCACCCGACGGTGCTGAGAGATCATTGCAGGGTCAGTAGAAGAGAGCACCAGGAAGCATTGCCCTAGTGATCGCCCTTCTGACACTCCCATGGAGTGGGGTGGGGAGCTGTGGGCCTCCAGGTCCCTTGTCACGGAAGGTGTGGGCCAGAGTCTTCTCAAGGTGACTGCAGGCTGCCTGTGCAGACCCGGGTATTTGCTGCCAGCTGTAACTCGGAGCTCCTGGAGCTCTCTGCCTCTTTTGCTAAATGTGAAGTGCTGCAGCTGGTCAGCTGCTCACTTAATCCATGATGTACGTCTGCATTGCAGAGACACTCCAGGCTGCAATTAGTATCCAAGCTAACTAGCGTAGCTCTTTGCAGCACCACGGTCTCATTTAGCGTGCTGCGTGGCAGTCTGCGGGGTACCTGTTACAGACTCCCCTCGTCAGTAGTCCCTGTCCCCAGAGGTGGAAGTAGTTTTTCCTCCAGAAGGTATTGTCCTTTCCCTGAAGCCATCCCCACCCTGTGGGCAAAGAAGGGAACGTCATTCTGCTGGGGAAACCGCCGTACCCAGTACCAGCCATCCTGAGGGCCCTGTTTTTCCTGGCAGGTATTCACGTTCAGCTGGAGAGAAGACATCCGTCCTGGGGATCCTCAGCATACCAAGAAGTTTTGTTTTGATGCCATTTCCCACAGCAGCCCTGTGACCCTCTATGACTGTCATGGAATGAAGGGGAACCAGCTCTGGAGATACCGAAAAGTGAGTGTGCGTGTGTGTATGCGTATTCTCATTTAAGGTCTCATATTGAGAGAGATGTGGGATTGATGAGCCAATTTCACTGGTACCCTGTTCCTTGTGCAGTCAGTTAGCAGCACAAGGTATTATTACACTTCTGGTTTGGCTGCAGGATCTGCCAGACACAGACTTGTTTCCTTAGAGTGTCACCACTTTAAGTGTTTTATCCCTTCTCTTCGTGTAGCTGTGATAAGAGAATCTACAGACAATCTGTTGTCATTGTGCCATTAATTACCCTTGATTAGAAAGAGGTAACTCCCCTGTTCCACCGTTAGAAATGGTGAGGACTGCTTCTCCAGGGCTTGCTAAGCAGAAGGATGCTCTCCTTGCAGTCCTGTCCACAGCTGGCACTGAGGTGATGCAACACCCTTGCAAAACCTGTTTGCAAAGAGGTGTGCTGTGTTTATTAGTTTGTCCTGAATACTACAAGATGATACCAAAAGTAGATAAGGATTTATTAATTCTCCTACTACGCAATGCCTTTGTGGCCAACAGGCAAGTAAGTTCTTGATGAAATGCCCCATCCCAGGCCTTGCACAGTGCGTGGAGCGACTGCAGTGGGATGCGAGCCTGTAGGCTGGAGAGCCTGGCTTCAGACATAGCTTGAGAGCTTTCCAGTGCAGATGTTGAGGGTTGGGCTGGATACTGTTGAAAGGGCTGGGAATGGACCCTGACACTTGCCAACCACTTATGTGTGGAACAACTTCTTCAGGTACATCCAAGTGACAAAATAGCTTGCCTTGGTTTTTAAGACTTCTTTCTGTTGGTTTTAAACCAGCTTTGCTTCTCTGCTTAGCAACCTCACATCAAATTTCTCTTTTCCAGGACAAGACCCTCTACCATCCAGTAAGCAGCAGCTGTATGGACTGCAGTGAGAGCGACCGAAAGATCTTTATGAATAGCTGCAATCCTTCATCTCCAACACAGCAGTGGATATTTGAACATACAAACTCAACAGTCTTAGAAAAATTTAACAGAAATCTTGATCTTTAAAAGACTGAGAAAATATATATATATTTTACAATTATAGTTTTTACTGGGGAGGGTTACAAAAAATTTTTTTAAGAATACTTTTTTTTAAACAGTTAATGAAGGTAAAAGGGAGAATCTCAGGAGAAGGTTAACTAGCAGGCCAGTCTTTATTGTGAAGATGCTGCATCCTTCTCTTCTGGGGATGGTGGAATTTTAAAGGCTTTGCCAGAGCCACTTCTGTGCTAAGACTGAACAGAAACTCTGTTTTTAGAGGAGTCTGAATGTGATTCAAACTGCTTTTTTGTTTTGTTTTGTTTCCCACCTGGGTCTGGTGTTAAATGATTTTGTTATCCAGGACTTTTTGTAGCTGCTATACTACCCACTGAAGCGTTCCCACATAGGTGCTTTATCTTCCGAAGTCCATGTAAGTAAAATCTTGAATACAAGACTTAATCCTCCAGCATCATAGACGTCAAAAAAAAAAAAAAGGCCATCAAAATGTAAAATGAAATTAATATTTTTTTTTTTCCTAAGCCAAAGTAGATTAGAACTCAAACAGGTTGAGTATTATTACTTTCCAAATCATAGCTCTGATAAAGGAATGAGCTCTAGTGGAAGTGCAGCCAAGTGTTGGGAATATCGCTGTAGTTATTAGTGATGAAGCTTCTGGGTTTCTGGTCCATTCACTTCACAGTCAGTTTGTCACTCGTTGTTGAATCTTCAAGGTGAAAGATTAGCAGAAGGTTTTTAAGTAAGCACAGTTCTTACAGGTGAAGATTTTTACTAAGAGCCTTTGGATAACAGGTTCCAAATTTGCCTCATATTCAGGATCTTTTTAGTACAGACGCATGTAGGGTTTCTCAGAGTTAAATCTACTACTAAACGTGAAGGCAACTTCCGTTTTTCCTTTAGAGGTTTGAAGGCTAACTTAATTCACAGTTGGTGTGAGCAGATTAATTCAGGATAATTAAGTCAGGGCTGAGATAAGCCATTGGTCTTTATCCATTTGTTCTTCAGTCTGTACTTTGTTGCAGTCATGAGTTCTGTGGTCAGTAGTGTTCTAGCCTTGTGGGAATGTGCTATGAATCTTCGCTCCTTTCCCAACATCCGCAGCACTGTACAGTTTACTGTGACTGGAAATCTGTTTGCTTAAGCAGAGATTTGGGATTGATGGGCCAATTTCACTGGTACCCTGTTCCTTGTGCAGTCAGTTAGCAGCACAAGGTATTATTACCCTTCTGGTTTGGCTGCAGGATCTGCCAGACACTGAACCAGAATTGTCTCACTCCCACACTCAGGGTAGGAGCAGGGCACCCCTCCGGGACTCCTGGTAAGCACAGTTCATGGACTTCCCCTCCTTGGAGGGGCAGGGAAGCTCTGCTCTGGGGTGTCCTCCTCTCCTGGGAAGGCAAGGAGATTTTTGCCTGGTGTCAAGAAATAAGCAGGCTGACTCCCCCAGCAGAGCTCCAGAAGTAAGAAGCCCTTTCTGATGTTGCGAATTGTAGGATCATCGCCCATGTTTCAGCCGTCTTTGAGGCAATGTAGTACTGTGTCTGTCAGCTGGGAGCAGACGAGAACACAGCTAGCTGCCTCTCAAGTCTGATGTATTGATTATGAGGCTCAAAATCACTTCCACCTCTCTCATCCTCGCAGCTGAGACCATGTCTGACCTGTTTTGCCAACTTACCTGGCCCACGCAGTCATGAAGCAAGGGAAACATGGGCACTGGATTGCAGCTGGGACCAGGCTTCCAAATGTGTTGGTGCCCAACATATTGGGAGTGAAGAAAGCAAGCAAGCTCTAGGCTTCCCTTGTGACAGTTTTGCAGCAGTATTGCTATGGAAGCGAGACCAGTGTCAAACAGGGTTGACATGTTCTCAGTAACTACAATATATCTGTTACTAGAATCCCTTTTCATTTCTGTGGGAGACAGAGCCACTTTCCAGTGCTTTGTGTCTGACTGTTGCTTTCCTTAAGTTATTAATGCTCTTATTAGTCTAGTAGTGCTGACTGTGGATCGCTAGACAGCCTGACTAGATGTCTTTATGAATGTTTTAATACCTGTGGAACAAGCAGCTGTTTGTCCATGAACAGTGCTAGTTTTTTATAATTGGGACATAATCAGCAAGTGATGTAGATGGACTGTAAGTCATTCTGCTTGCAGCTTGCAACTTTGTGTGTCTTAGTTTTCTAATGAGAGGACTAGCTTCTGTTTCTAAAATGCATGGCTTGCTTTGTACTTGGGTTCACCTTGTGAAGAGAGTCCTAGCTGCTTGGCTTGCTGGACGCTTGCTTCAGAGAGAACTGCAGTAATAAACAGGTCTTTTACCACTTAAAGATCTTAATTTGGAGAGACAGGACAGCTTCTAGCAGTATGCATCAAAACATTAGGTAATCGTTGAGGCAATTCCTGTTTGACAGCCAACCACCAGTACGTGGAAACTGGAGCTTTAGTGTGAGTGGTCCCGCTGGGTCCTTCTCAGTATGGTTGATCTGATCTGTTTTCTGAAGGTTTGGGATCCGAGTGTGGTAAGTGCCCCACAAATTCGGTACACTTCTGACTGGCTCGCTGGGCTTTGAGCTAATTAATTTATTTACATCAATTATACTTTTCAATACCCTAGAGGCTTTGCTGACTAATGAGAAGAGTTAATATAGCCAACCATCTACTGATTGAGAAATAGAAGCTGTATTTCATCATCTACATCTTTAATTGAGCCTTTGCTGGGCAATCTGGTTAATTATTCCAATTACTTTTGGTTATTTGTAAGCAAAATTGCTAAAGCATGAATACATAAGCAAAGCTTCACATCTGCATGCAAGTCAAGACTAGAGATTAAATACCAGTGATCGTCTAATGCAAAATAAATGTTTTCATATTTTTTCCCCAAAATATTCAAACAACCCTTCTCTCCAAGGCTGCATAAATTCTGCTACTTTTAAGTATCAGAACCCCAGACACCAGGGGGACCCCTGGATATGTGTTATGTTGCATAATAATACTTTGATTTGCTCCTGAAGCTCTTGTTGATTTATAACTGGTGCTAATCTCTAAGGCCTACAGACAGAGTAACAGGTTTGGGGCTCTTAGATGTGTTTTTTCATGCCTGGGAAATTAACTTTCTTTTCCACACCATAATAGAAGAATGTGTGGGCCTTACTGAAAGGGGAATACAGCATCATTAAAATAAAGATGTGCCTTTTTAAATGCAAATGTACAGCAAATGCTTAAACTTGAACCATTTCCTAGTGCCTTGCTGGACAAGAGAGAAGAGGGGAAGGGGCTGGGAGATAAGGATGTAAGAGAAAGCCTGACTCTTGCAAAAACTTGCAGTTTGTGTGTGGTTTTTAAAATGTCTGACTTCAAGTACAAAATTTGTGTGAATGACGGTAATTCAGAAGCTCCTGGGTTTCGTCTACCCACCAATAATATCAGTATCATTAATGACTCGGAGGGGGTTGTCACACCTAATGGGAAGACTTGGAAAGGACGGTGGCTTCCTCTTGGTGCACTGTAACAACTAAAGCTAGACCAGAGGATGTCTTGGTTAGCTGTTGGATGTTTCACCTCATGGTGAAGGCTCATGCATTTCACTAGCATGCAAGATCCTGCATTTTATTTTCTAAGTATCCAGATCAGAAATCACAAATACTCCCAAGGGGATATAAAATCTGAAGCTTTCAGAAAGTCGATCCCTTACATCGCTGGGAAACTTAAAGGGTGTGTTCAAATGTCTAATACAGAAGTAGCAAGAAAGCAATTTCTCAGCTTAACTTTCCTCCTGGTTTGTTTTACAGTAGTCCCTGCACAGGACTTGCTTTCCTTTGCTGGAGAGTTCCAGTCAACAAACTTTCGTCCTCCCAGCTGCACTGAGATACCTGTGTACTGAAAGTCAAACAGGCATTATCGTAGCTATGATGGCTTACATCACCGAGGAGAGCGGAGAGGGATCTCCTAGAAGTCATACTGGGCAATCACATAACTGCTAGGTAAAAAGGGAGAAGCTTTGGTTTTAAATTGTTTTTCAGGATGTGGACAGACACTTGAATGGTTTTGACTGGAGAACAGCCAGCCTCTAGCAGTCAGCCTGTCACGCTTTCAGTCGAAAGAGCCCTGGTGAAGTTTTGTCTGAAACAGTGTGGTTGTGCTAGCACAAGGGATTTAAGTGCACCTTGTGTCCCACATCCACTCCCAACTGCTATGATTCATGTCCCTACTCACCTACAGTATTTCTAACTACTGGCAACAAAGGAGCCTGGCGGTGCCCAAGTCGGTCCTTATCTGAGAAGTGGCAATCTAGGTTCCATTTTAACAGTCACTTAACATTAAAAGCTTCTTAGTTAGCAAACTGTTGCCAAAATGGTGAGTAGTGTTAGGTTAATGTCAGAGTCATTAACCTAATGTCAGCGGGCGTGGAGGGGGAGGTAGGATTAAAAGGTCTTTCGCAGGATACATAGCAAACGGGGAGCTGGACTGGGAGTCAGGAGCACTAGGTCCCATTCCCAATCTACCAGTGGCCTATTCCTTGATCTTAAGCAAGGAATGTGCGCTGCAGTTTCCCAGCCTGTATAAGATTTAGATTTAAGTGCTTTATTTGCTGACCTAATGAGTGTTGAGTCCATGTTTTAAAACAAGCTGGTTTGAGCGGAGGGGAGAGATGCAATGGGTGGAGAATGGGAAAGCTGAGATCTGAAATTTCCATCAGCATTCAACACACAGTTGTCAATTCATTTCATATTTCTCATTAACCAGTCAGATTGATTTATTCACATTATAAATTTAAAGTATAACTGAAATAACCTCACCTCCTGCTCCGATTGCTCCTTTGTAGTGTCACGCTTTAACTTGGAGATCTGTGTATGAAACTAGGCAATGATAGATTATAGAAATCCTAATAAAAATCCTACATCTGTTTTTTGCCTTTGGCTCTGCTAGCTGAGTATGCCCCTTTATTTGCTGCATTTGAGCTTTCTTGATGCTTCTGTATGACCCAAAAGGTTTCAATGATTCCAGCAGATGT